ATTCAATTATAATAGATTTACATGAAGTGAACGCCAACACTATTAAATAAGTAAGCAAAATAAACGAAACGAACTAAGAAAGCGCAAGTTAGAGAAGTAATAAATATGTATATATGAATATGTTATCTCAGTTACAGAGGTTACAATTTTCTCGCAGCAGTTATAGAGGGAAATATGTCGATGAAGTCGAAAGAACGAATCCCAGATAGAGAGGTTTGCTTCGTCCCACTAACAGAGGTGATTGAGTGCCAAGGTGTTGGGTCTTCAGCATGAGTTCCAGTCAAGGTTTCTCACTTGTACAGGTCCCATTTAACCAAGTTTCACTGTATAATGTACAAGGATATTATTTTGGCCTTGGTGGGCACCAGAATGTCCTGCAAGGCCCTGGGGCTTGAATACCCTGTACTATTCAGTAGGGGACTCCCCTAAATTATTCCAAGGTGAATTAGGATAAGTCACAAAATTGAATAATTGATTTTACTCGTGTGCCTCAACAATTATGAACAATTCTTGTACTCTTGTACATTTTGACAAGCAATGACAAAAAGACGAAACGATCGGATCGAACCAGATTTTGACTATTTCAGGATCTGTTAGTGACAACCATTCAAATGAAGCGAGTTTGAAGATCATTGAATTAAAAAATATTTTCCAGAAAAAAGAGGGTATCATCCATTGATTTTCATCTCATGATTAATAGACATCCTGTAGATTCTAAATCAGTATTTTTAGTTGACGTGCTTTCATTTTTAATTTTACGGTGTTTGAAGTTATTTTATTGTCCGTCGATACCTAATTGTTTCAGATAACTAACTCGTAGAAAGGTTCTTCAAATCATTGGGGTATTCCAAATCGATTCACTTCATTTATAAACTCGAGCAACAAACTTCGAACATTTAATTTTCAGTCGTTGAAACCCCTTGGATGCGAAGAACAATTCGGAAAAAAGCGTGGAAAAAAGAACGGAATAGGGCACTTTTTTACCGAGAGAAATTTGGAAACTGTAGATTAAAAAGGAAGTAGAAACCGCATGCGAACAATTTAAAACTCCAAATGAAATTCAGTACCTACGTAGGGCAAATGTGTGCAAAGAAAATTTAGGGCGTTGTTATTTATTGGGGAAGCGTCTCCCCGAATTGTGCGAAATTGCTAAAAGAGATGAGAGACTAAAGTGAAAATTTCGTAAAGGTACCCCAGTTTATTGTCTTGTCAGTCTGAAAAGCCGGAAAGAAACTGGAGTGTTTCGCTTACTTGATGTTGATATAAATTTAGAGGAAAGATCATGAACGTGATTTACATGGTTTCTGGTAGGTTAAATGTCGATATATATATATATATATATATATATATATATATATATATATATATATATATATATATATATATTATTTTATATATAGCAATAACAAGCTTTTTTATGATATGCTTCATCTTTTTGCCTCCCAAAAACGCTTCATCCTCTCTGAGTTCTTTCTTCCGTTCATCTGTCCACTTTACTCCAGGTTGACGATTTAATTTTTGCAAAAACTTCACATGTGCGATTTTATACCGACATTCAGTGCGATCTTCGAGATTTTTTATATTGATCTGTTGTAGATCTTTTCGGACCTCTTTCAGCCACTCTGTTCCGCATTATTCATAATTATTATTTCATATTAATATGAATATTATTCATATGTTCATATTATTCATAATTATATCGAGTAGTTTATTCGGTATTCTGGCCCGTTTCATTCTGTAGACATGTGAATAGAACTTTGCTGGTCGTTTTCTGATTTCTTCCGTTATCGTATTTGTCTTTTGATACAGTTCATTCTGGGGTCTTTTCATCCAAATTCCGTTTCTATTGATTGGCCCGTGAATCTTCCTGAGAATTTTTCGTTCTTGTTTTTCTATTTCTTTAATTCTTGAATGGCCGCCAATAACCATTGTTTCAGCTGCGTAGATTGCTTCTAGAAGAATCGTTGTGTTTAATGCCTCAATTTGGCTCCTCTCGAAATGCAGTTTTTGTTATAGTGAGCCCATGTTAGTTTGTAGGCCCTTTGGAGCTTGGTTATTCTCTGTTCATTAGCGATTCGGTTTAAACCTGAGGACTGTATAACTTCCCCGAGATATTTAAAATGGCCTACTTGTAGAATTTCACCATGTTTTGTCATAAGAGAAGATTTATTTTTTGGTTTCCTTCCCATGTATTTGGTTTTTCATTAGAAATTTGTAACCCGGTTTTCTACGCAATTTCATGTAGTTTTTCTACGTCGCGAATGGCTTCAGTTCTGTTGTCTGTGGTGATAGCAAAATCGTCTGCAAAGGCGAGACATTTGACACTTATTCTATTTTCTTTTTTGATTCCCACTTGCCCTTTACGTGAAGTTCCCATTCCCTAATGATCTTTTCTAAAACAGTATTGAAAATAATTGGCGAAAGTCCATCCCCCTGCCGCATTGGTTTTGATTTCAAAGGGATCTGATATTTCGCCCATAAATTTCACCTTGGAAGTTGTACCTGTAAGTGTCTGTTCTATAATTTTTCGGGTCTTTCGATCGATTCCAAATTCTTTAATGATTTCAAAAAGGGTTTCGCGGTCTACCGAATCATATGCTTTCTTGAAGTCAATGAATAAGATCACTGTATTTCTACATTTTCTCATCTTTAATATCATCTTCAAAGTCCAGATCTGTTCAGCACATGATCGGCCCTTTCTGAATCCATCTTGGTATTCCCCAATCAGTGGACCCGCTTGTTGTTCTACTCTGTTCAGTAGTGCTTTGGAAAGTATTTTGCACGCAACCCGGAGTAAGGAAATTCTCCTGTAGTTATTGATATCCATTTTGTCCCCCTTTTTGTGCAATGGATGTATCAGCGCGCATTTCCAATCCTGTGGTATCTTTTCCGTTCTTCAGATTTCTGATATTAAATGATGAATTTTTTGCGTCAAAGTAGTATCGTTGAGTTTCCAGAGTTCCGCAATAATTCCATCTTCTCCTGCTGCTTTGTTGTTTTTGAGTTGCTTGACAATTGCCGTAATCTCTTTCATATCAAGGGCTTGCGAATCTGGATGCGTAAAACCCGTAAAGTCGAACTTGAGTTTTTCTTGGGGTGGATTGCAGTCGAGAAGGGCGCTGAAGTATTCGGCTAAGATTTTGCAGTTATTTTTGTGTTAGTTTCCAACGAGCCATCGGATTTTTTGAAACAAAGACTGGGCGCTTGGTATCCCCGCAATTTTTTTCTGAAAGTTTTGTGAAAAGCTCTAGTATTAATATTGGTGAAATCCTTGTGTATTTCGTGACACCCACTATTATAATATCTCCGTTTTTTCTTCTAATTACTTTGGAGGCCTGTGTTCGAGTTATGAAGAAGTTCTCCCAGTTTTCCTTATTTTTATGGCCGTTAAATTTTTCCATGCAGTTATTCTCTTCTTGACTGCTTGGTCGCAGATTAAGTTCCACCAGCGGTGTTTCCTGGTGCGAGGAGGTTGCCCTAGTGTAATGGCTTTCTGAATATTCTTTGTAAGAATTTCCCAATTCGTCGATTCTTCCTGATTGATTTGTGCAATGATTGTATCCTTGTGAAGTTCAGATATTCGGGATCGGACCTAACTTTTCTGGGTGTAATTTTTTTATTTCTATTGGGTTGAAATTTTGTTTTTATTTGGAGGAGATAGCGATCCCAATCAAAGACGCCTTTACGAGTTCTGACATTCAAAATTTCCTTCACGTTGTTCTTGGAAATTGCGACATAATCAATTTGATATTCACCCTGCTTGAGACTGGGCCATCTCCAAGTAGTTAGCTTCTGTGCAGGTTTTTGAAATTGAGTACTCATGATTTTCAGTTCGAAGTTCCTACAGAACGCGATTAACCTTTCACCGTTCTTGTTGGTACGTTTGTGTTTGGTATGGAAACCAGTAGTATCTCTGAATTTCCTTTCCTTGCCTAGCTGTGCTATATATATATATATATATATATATATATATATATATATATATATATATATATATATATATATATATATATATATATATATATATATATATATATTACATCTCTTATGCGTCATACACATATCTGGGACCGATTATCACGGGAAAAATTATCACGGATTTCACCGGAAATCTTGCAAAAAACCAGAACTGCTTGGGGTACTGAAAAACATCTTCAAATCAGATATGACACTATCCCTAAAGAGCAAACTGTTTGACCAATGCGCATTACCAGCGATGACCTATGCCAGCGAAACTTCGACCCTGAAATCTGTTCATATCCAGAAGCTTCGAACAACCTAGCAAAGTATAAAAAGATACATGATGGGCCTAATCATAACCATAATCATTCAGATTATATTTTCAGATCATCAATTTGTTTTCAATCCATCATTTTATTTGAAGAATTTTCAAAGTAGTTTTCTTCATTGTTAATTCGAATTTCAGTTTCATTTGCGTATGAAATGCAATTTACTAACCCAACAATAAATGTTGAAATTCCATAATTTGTACAGGGTCATGTTGAGTGGTGCAGACTAAATGGGGCGTGAAGGTGCCTGTGTCCCCTCGAAATTTCGTTTGGGTTGGCAGACCCCTTTATACTTTGGAAAGTCTTTTAGTTATATTATGGTCTGTAAAATTTCAAAACTATGGTTCTAGTTCAGCACTGTAATTCTATATACTGTATCAGGTATTTTCTTATACTTATTTCAATATTTTCAGAGTGTAAGAGCGAATTCAATATTGCTATATTGATATATATATATATATATATATATATATATATATATATATATATATATATATATATATATATATATATATATATAATATATATATATATATACTACTCAATTTAATCTCATGTTCATTAACGAAAAAATTCAATAATACATCTGGGAGGATGGGAAGGTGTTTACTCACGTTCGTGCAGTTTGAAGACGACAACCCCTGCGTCGATGACTGGCTTGCGAACAAAAGAGTAATCAGATATAGTTGGAATTGCATCGCGAAGTAGTAGACCTCAGTAGCCTAGTTGGTAGAGCAACAGGGCGTAAACCTGAGAGACCTGGGTTCGTATCCCAGTCGAGGTTGAAAACTTTTGTGGTGTAATTTCAATTCCAAATTCAAATATTTCTTCATATACAATATGTCTGTACGTACATGGTTAGCGCGAATAATATTCACTTCAATTTATATATATATATATATATATATATATATATATATATATATATATATATATATATATATATATATATATATATATATATATATATATATATATATAATTTTTGTTTGAAAGTATAAGACAATTATACTTTCAAACTTCAATAAATATGAGATATATCGAAAAATCAATTTTGAGATATTGTTTCTTTATATCAATGAATCCTGAGCTTTATTCAGAGCTATTTAGCTATTTCACTCATTAATCAAAATGCGACAGTCCGTTAGATAACTGTCAGACAGCAATATTTCATGTCTTACACTTTTAATCAAACTTTAGGATTAATTCGAATATATTTTTCGTCTTTTCAAGGCTATTCTATGCTCAGTAATAGTCCATAAGCATTATTATTTCTGTGAATTAAATTTGCTTCTCACCAAAATCTCGTGCGTGTTCATGTTTTTTTCGATTTTCGAAGCCACAAATTGCGTCAGTCTTGTCTAGTTTCCCGGAGTGTCAACCTATGGCAAGTTGAGATTTCGTGGTTCTTATTTTGATCATATAACTCTGAGAAAAACTCACTGTTTTTCAACTGAAATTTAGAAAATTCTTTGGTGCGAGTCCCTCGTTATTAGCTCTCCCAATATTTTTCATAAGTCGGCGCCATTGATCATGTTTAACTTGAAATATCTTGAAAAATACTGACTGAGTATTATGTAAAACGAAAACATTATTTAAATAGGTACATGTACACCTCTGGTGGTAGTCAAAAACGTTTACTTGTCATCATTTAGTAGGCGTACAGTACCCATAGTTTCGGTAAGTATGAGTCGAATAGTTTGAAATAGCTTTTTAAAGAATTACTTTGTAACTCAGAAAACAATCACATTAATTGAAAGTGTTTGGATTGAATCTTCATAGTTTGAGAACAGGATTCTACTCTCAAATTACTTCCAATCAATAATGAATAACTCTATATAAACATAAAATATTCATATCTCATTCAAGCAGAACTTTCTTTCAGCGCTTTTCTCGATAGTTATATCATTGATCCAAATTGTGAGGTTATATCAAAATGTCATAGAGCAAACACGAAGATATATTCACATTTGAATTATGCGGTTTCCAGTATAACATCGGCAAAACAGCGATGATCTATGTGAACTCCACCTCGTAATTACGCTATACCTACGCAATAATGGCCGCATCTTCAACATCGAGCACGTACCGACCCGCATAAATAACACCGTCTCCGACGCCGATTTTGCAGCTGGAATCGGCCGAGTGTAGGATCTCCTACGACGCTTCCAAAACTTTTTACGGCTCCCTAACTCTCAATTCCGTAGTGCATTGCAGTGTTTGAATTTAGCGGCTGCAAGCAGTGCGGAAGTGAGGGCTCGGGACCCGCTGGCAGCCTTCCATCGTACGAGGGGGCGGCAAGTGACGTTTCCTTCCGACGCCGGACGTCGCCCATTAACGGGGGTCCGTGGCTCGCGCCCGACCACTCGCTCCCCACTTCTCTGAATGGGTTTCCGGTGCGAACCGGACGCAAAGATGGACCCAATTCGAGCACGGAGATGTATTTCGTTGATCTTTTGCGTTTTGTTGTTTTAGAGTTTGTGATTAATTATTTTGTATCGTGTTGAAAATTTTACGAGTAGAATGATGAGTGCTGTCCTCCTTTGGTATACATATTATTCGACGTATTAATTTACAGAAAATTATAAATAGATCCTTAGTATACTTTATATTTTCGAATATCACTGCACCTCTTGAGATTTACAGGTACTGAATATTTTCAATTGCACTGAATGGAGGTTAGAATTTTACGGTCGGCAGTAATGTATTGGTCATATCCAAATATGTCAGGTTCGTTGGTAAATTTTTCGATTATTGATCTGTAAGTTTTTGTGCTAATTATTGAATTTTACTGCAGCGTATAGAGATAAATGAGGATTATTGAAACGTGCGATTTCCTTAAGTAAAAAATTGAATACGTTTCGTTGAATATCACATCTTTGACAAAACTAATGAATAATTGAATTTTATGAGTTACTATAGATATCAAAATGTCAAACTTATTTTTTAAAAAAATCAAATTAGTTTTTTTGTATTTTTACATATTGATTTTTAGTATCAGAGAAATATTTCTGGCTTAGCATTCGCTTCAGAAATTTCAGTCTTCCTCACCATGAGGTAACCTCTGAAAAACTCATGGTAAAAAACAATAAATAAACAGGCAATAAATCAATTTAAAAAAATAAATAAATATATATATATATATATATATATATATATATATATATATATATATATATATATATATTGTATGAATTTGAATCTTGGGTTTTTGGTTCAATTGAAACAAAATGATATTATTTTATTTCCAAAATTACGTTTCGGTTATTATTTTAACCTTTATCAAACAGGTATATATGTCATATGCTCGCACAATATAAATACTTCGGAACAAAAGTTTTTCCGAAGTATTTATATTTTGCGAGCATATGACATATATACCTGTTTGATAAAGTTTAAAATAATAACCGAAACGTAATTTTGGAAATAAAATAATATCATTTTGTTTCAATTGACCCAAAAAACCCAAGATTCAAATTCATACAATATAAATAAAATGGTTCACGAATCAGATAATTTGTCAAATATATATATATATATATATATATATATATATATATATATATATATATATATATATATATATATATATATATATATATATATATATATATATATATATATATATATATATATATATATATATATATATATATATATATATATATATATATATATATATATATATATATATATATATATATATATATATATATATATATATATATATATATATATATATATATATATATATATATATATATATATACGCTAGCAATAGCAGGATTTTGGAATTTGAAAAACATATTTGTTTCAGGTTAACGAATTATAGATTTTAATAATTTTCACACCATTGAAAAAAATTATTCCAATTATTGACATTAATTTCAACTAATAGGTACTTAACCGTTCTCCGGCTTTTAATTAATACTTGAGATGTGTTTAAGTGTAGCGCACACCAAGTCCTATCTCCCATTATCCCTCATATTTGCATAATTTCGCCTACATGACATTGTGGTCAGTAGCAAATTGAAGCCTAATTGCGATTTAAATAATAAAATGCGAGATCCCATTCGCGAAATGTGCCATTTGTGTACAAGAGTATATCAAACGTCATAAACTAATTCGAGCATAACCTGAAATTAATTGGTTTTTCACCGAAACTCGCGCAACTGTTTGTCTTTCATTTATCTTTCCATTTTCGTTTCAACAACAGTAAACGACTGTGATTATATCACGCAACGCTTAATCAGACCAGAAAAAATGCTTTATGCGGGAAAAATGCAAGTTAATAAATTCGAAAGATAATCATTTGCCTTTGTGGCGTGATCAAATTTGCATTCATATTGCAATGCTGTATTATTACTTACACGAGCGCTATTTTAAAAATTACGCGGCTCACAAAGATAGCGAAGCGAAACTTTCATGAAAATTGTGTATCGTATATTAAACTGGGCGTCTGATGGGGATGGAACGAAGTGGCTGACGTATTATTTCGAACGCGTATTCTGTATAAAATTTGCTTAATAAACTTTGCTTCCGAAGTGCCCCCGTTATTTCATTGCGACATAACGAGAATCTGACTGTCTGCTCTTGTTTCAGAACTCGAGCTGAAAATAACTTCGTCCTAATGGAAATATTTAGGTACATCAATTTACCATGAAAACGACACGGAGGTTTCGCTTATCTCTTGGTGAAACATTATGATAAAAACTATAAAATTAAAAATTAACACACTTGACTTTAGTTTCACTGAATATACTAAAAACTCTACTTATGTTTCGGGTGGTTAACACATTTTCATGAGTATACAATATTACTGAATTTCAAAATGTACACTATATATTTTCACTTTCACTTATATATCCTAAACAACAGAATTTAACACTGGTGTCAAAAAAATCGACATTTGACTTGTGGTCATTACAAATAGGTAGATTTTTCTTTTTGACAATCGAAATTTCAAAGACTTTAAGGTTATCTAATATTTTGCTCTTACTTACTGAGTGTACTATTTCGGTTTTCCTGGGTCCCAAAAATGATTATGTTTAATGCAGAGTTTAGAAAAACCTGTATTAGGTTTATTCAATAGTATTGATCTTTTATATTCATCGATTCTTTTTTTGTATAGAACGTCCAGTTTGATCTATGTAAAAACTATCACATTCACTGCACAATATTTTATAAACGCATCTTAAACGCATTCTTAAAAATAAGTCAAGTTTGTCCTTGTTATTTACCAACAATGAACCCAAATTGTTGAATAGCGAGACTTGTTCCACACAATAGATCGTCAGAACCGGTGGAGTATTAATGTAGGTATATGGAGAAATTATAGCAGACCCAGTTATTGGCCCGTATTTCTTTGATGGTCATTCAAACGACCCTAAATTTTTGAGATTTTTAAAAAAATATTTCTAGCACTTTTGGAAGATGTTCCAATCAATATTAGAATATAAATGATGTTGCAATTAGATGGGGCTCCCGCACATTTTTCAGTTAATGTGCGAAACTATTCAAAGAGAAAGTTTTCTAACAAATGGGTAGGGCGCGGAAGCCCACATGCTTGGCCACCTAGATCCCCTGGACTGACTCCAATGGACTTCTTTTTGTAGGGTTATATTAAAAACAGAGTTTACAGCGCTACCCCGACAACAGAAGAAAATATGAAGCAAAGAATTAGAGAAGCTTTTGAAACAATAACCCCAAATATGTTACGAAATGTGAGAAATTCTTTTAAAAACCGAGTAGCACTCGGTGCTACTCGGTTCGACTCATTCAACA